GAGAGGGGGGAGGGTCAGAGGGAGAAGCAGACTCCCTGCCGAGCAGGGAGGCCGACGCGGGACTCGATTCAGGGACTCCAGGATCATGACCTGAGCCGAAGGCAGTCGCCCAACCAACTGAGCCACCCAGGCGCCCCATCTTTGATTCTTTCACAGATAACAGAGCACCTTAACCTGATACGTAAGAAGGATAATTTGCATTGTTATGGAACTGTGGAATTCTAATTTTATATTCCTTTTTATATAACAGCTTTACTAAGATGTAATTCACATACTATAAAATTTACCAATTTAAAGCATGCAATTCAGTGGTCTCTACTGTATTCACAGAGATACGCCACCATCACCATGATTTTAGAACATTCTCATCACTTGAACAAGCAGGCACTCCCCACTGTCCGCAGCCCTAGACAGCCACTCATCTACTTTCTGTCTGTATGGATTTTGCCTGTTCTGGAAATTTCATACAAATGGAATCATACCAATATGTGTGTTTTTTGTGTTTGGTTTTCTTCACTTAGCATATTTTGAAGGTTCACCGGTATTGTAGCTTGGATTGGCATGTCACCTCTTTATGTGGCTGCATAATATTCCAGTGAATGGCTATACCATATTTTATTATACATTTTCAATCCATTAATCAGTCATTTGGCTTGTTTTCCATTTTTTTGGCTATTATGGATAATACTGCTATGCACATTCATGTACAAGTGTTTGGGTGGACATATGTTTTCATTCTCTCAGGTAGATATTTATAAGTAGGATTGCTGGGTTATCTGGTAACTGTTTATCTAACTTTTTGAGGACTTGCCAGAACGTTTCCCAAATCAGCTGTATATCACATTTCCTCCAGCAGTGTATGAGGGTTCTAATTTCTCCACATCCTCGTCCACACTTCTTATTACATCTTGTGTATTACAGCCATCCCAGTGAGTGTGAGATGGTATCTCATTGGGGTTTTTATTTGCAGTTTCCTAATGGCTAATGATGAGCATCTTTTCATATGCTTATTGGCCATCTATATGTCTTTGAAAAGCTGCCTAGTCAGATCCTTTGTCCATTTTAAAACTGGGTTGTCTTTTTATTATTGAGCTATAAGAGTTCTTTATATATTCTGGATACAAGTCCTTCATCTGCACATATTTTCTCCCATTCTATGGGTTACCTTTTCACTTTGTGGACGGTACTTGTGCTTTCTTCTGTTGTTTGTGCTTTTCGTGTCATATCAAAGAAACCGCTGTCTAACCCAAGGTCACGTTTTCTTCTGAGAGTTTAGTAGTTCTAGCTTTTACATCTAGTTATTTGACTGAATTTTTGTATATGGTGTGAGGTAGGGGTCCCAATTTGTTCTTCAGCATGTGGATATCCAGTTGTCTCAGTGACACTCAGTGACACTTGTTGAAAACATGACTCACTCCCCAAAGGCCCCACATGGGAAAGCTCTGTGATGTGTGGAGGAGAGCAGAGTGCAGCGGTAATGGGTTCGCTGGTGTGTGGAGCATACGCAGCATGGAAATAAGAGTAGGAGGGGACTGGCTGGGCTGCAAATCAGGGGTCTTAGCTCTGGTTCCAGATCCGCCAGGGACCAGGATGGAGACCATGCTGGAGGTGATGCTAATGATGACCCCATGCTGAGTACACCAAGCGGGGCAGGCTGACCACCCACAGTTCAGCGTGAAGACACGGAGGCTCAGGCATATGACATCATAGGCCTCAGGTCACAAAGCTCAGGGCGACGGTGTCCAGGTCCAAACCCAGGTTACGCTGCTTCAGACTTCTATCCTCCTTTATTTCTTAGTTTGTGAGTCTCGGATTCCTCCCCCTTTATAAAGCTGGAATCAGCCTTAAAGTCTCTTACATTTTATTTTTATTATTTTTTTCAGAAACTGTTTATTTTCCATCAACCTTATTTCCATTTTGTTTGCCTTTGTGGAAGAGCAGCTTCAGACCACTCAGTGGTTGCTCCTACCCATTCAGTGGCCCAAGCAGTGGGAGCCTGCAGACCAGTCTTCTGTGGCCGGCTGAGTCTTGAGGAGGGAGCTGCTGACTAGGCACAGAGGGTACCCGCTCGTCTTCGACAAGTCTGTGATTTCAGGCTGAGTAGCAGTGAACTCAGTCCGGAGCTGGAGCAGTCCACTCTGAAATCCCTCCTGGGTCGCGGTCTTTTTGGCAGCGGCCTGCTCGTCTACTGCAATCTCGTCAGGATCTCTGTGGAAGCAGAGATCAGGCCCGACCTCCCATGCGTGTACTCAGGAAATGGTGCCAGGCGTGAGCAGAACTTCCCGGGCCAGCATCCCTCACATCGAACCCCCTGAGTGGGCTCCGTTGTTGCCACAAGGGATGGCGATGTCCACGTCGTGCAGGGGGTAGTCTCTGCTCCGCAGAGCGATGGTGGGAAGGTGAACGTAAGGCACCTCTGTGACAGGCTGGTGGTCAGCCCTGCGATCAGTAACCACCAGAGTCTGGGCTCCCGGAAGGCTGCCTGGATCTGGTTAGTTAGTGAGGGTTCCGGGGGGAGGCGGACGGCAACAGCACACTGCAGCCCAGCTCACTAGCCAGGATTCATGGATGATAGGACACTGACATCAGCCAGGTTTTCAATGACAACAATAACATGAGCTGCCAACGGAAGCTTCTCTCAGGTTCTCCTCAGATTCATGATGTGGATGCCTTCACTTTTCCTTCTGTAGATGTACTGCTCCATCTGCAAGTCAGTGTTGGTGCCACTCAAGTGGGTTCCTGCTGCAAGGAATTTGAGGACATCCTCCTCCTTCACTTGCAGGACATCAGGGGCTCCGGTCATGGGGACAGTTTCCCTTTAAGTTAGGACGGGAATGCGGAACAACGCCACATGGACTCCTCCCTGGGTAGTGTGGAAAAAAACAAGTCTCTTACATTTTACAATTCAGTTCAGTGGGTGAGTGGGGCTGGTGCAGGCTTCTGAACGTGGGAATGACCTGTGGGCTGTGCTTGGGAAGCCAGCTCTGGGAACAGCAGCGGGATGGAGGTGATAGTGGCCGGCGACCAGCCAGGGCCTGGGAGGCCCGCCCCACACAGCCCCACACCACCCCTGGGGAAGTCCACACAGCAAGTCTGCATACCCAAAACAGGAAGGCATAATGATTCCTCCATTAGTACTTGGGTGAGCTTTGGGTGAGATCGCCCTGAGGCCCTGGCCCCCAACTCAGGCCTCACCAGCATCTGAGCAAACCCCTTTTTGTGCCCCCAAGCCACTAATAGCTCCCACCAAAACCACTCACTGCACTCAGGTTAACGCTGAGTAAAAGGGATTCAAGCTTCACTCCAGGCCTTTCTGATACCATGGACACACTCAGTGATGAGGGCAGCACTTCCTACAGGGCCTGGCCTGCGCTCTGACCAGGTCCCTGACCCATGGCAGGTAGGGAGAGGCCGAGGGAGCTGGGCAGGGGGGGTGGGGGGGTGAAGGGAGGAGGGCACAGGGTAACACAGCTGGAGAAGGAGCAGAGTGGCTGGAAGGTGATGTCAGGGGGAAGCTGGGATGTGCACGTGGGATTGGGACTCCATCAGTGCAATCAGTCCAAACCTTCCTGTGCATCAGAATCACCAGCCAGGCCCCACCCTGTGAGTCTAGCTCAGGTGGCCTGCAAAGTTGCTCTGGGTTCCAGGACTCTGCTCAGGTCCCTGCTGGGCCCTGCATGCTATTCTCATTTAATCCTCAGGGACCCTTATGTGATAGGTACGGTCTTTATTCCTTCCTCACGAGAGATGATTCTGAGGCACAGAGAGGTTGAGTAACTTTCTGAGAACACACGGCTGAGTGGATAAAGCCTGGAGATCCTTAAGATGCCAGACTGCTACCGATCATACACGGGTGGAGGAGAGGTGATGCTATGTTACTAGGCAGGTCAGCCTGACCGAGGCCACGGGTCGGTGGGGTGCGTCTCACGTCAGAGACGCTGGGCCCTGAGGAGCTGCCTAGCTTTCATCTTATTGTCCAGAGCAGCAAACTACTTGACCTCTGTGGGCCTCCGTCTGCTGTTCTGGCAAATGTGACACTGGGCGCCAAGCACCCTCCCCCAGCTGCGCCTGGCTTACCATACTAGGCGGTGTGGCCCAGACGGTGCCACCATGCAGAGCCCAGGGAATGCCTCTCATGAGGACAAGTCCCTGAGATCTTGACTGTACACTGGGTGTCTAGACCCAATCATTAGTTCCGAGAAGTCTATGCTAGGGCACTGGGTCCTAGCCTGAAGTCGGAAGCAGCCTCTCGCACGGCCTAGAGACATCCAATCTCTGCCTCCTTTGAGTTTCTGGTTCCTGGAAGGGACACCCTTCTCCTGGGAAGAGTCGGTGACTCCACTCCATGGCCGTGCTGCTAATCCTTCCTCTCTGGAAGCTGTCCTGTCTCCTAAAGAGCCGCGTCTCCCAAAGAGGCTGTGTGACCGTCCCCAGAGGTGCCAGCTTGTGACTCCAACAACATTTGCCAGTGCTCAGTTGGAATTTTCACAGGTGACCAAGTTAATTCATTAGAACTTGATTCTCTAGCTCTTTACTATTCTTCCATAAAGAGGACATGATGGCGGGCGCTTATAATCGATCGTGCACTGAGCTAGGGCAACAATGCGAGCTGTCTGTCCGGTGTGTGTTTGGCGCTCGAGCGTACAGGCTGGGTTAGCCCCATTACCCAGCACTGTTACCAGCCTCTGAACAGAGGCAAGGGACCGAGAGGCTTGCCACAGCCTGTGTTGGCTGCCCCATGACAGAAAGGCGGGACCAATAGCCCATTAATCATCTACTTTTGGGCGCCTGGGTGGCTCAGTCAGTTGAGCCTCTGTCTTCAGCTCGGGTCATGGTCCCGGGGTCCTGGGGATGGGTCCCGCGTCAGGCTCCCTCCTTGGTGGGGAGTCTGCTTCTCCCTCTGCCCCTTCCCCTTGCTTGTGCTCTCTCTCTCTCTCTCAAATAAATAGGTAAAATCTTTAGGAAAAAAAAAGAATCTTCTACTTTCAAAGAGATTTGGAAAGTGTGAACTTCAGTCAAGTGCCTCTTCCTGATGTAATGGGCAAGGTCTACAAGGCCGTTATGATGATTTTACTTACAATGACGTGTCAGGCACCTACCATGATTCGTCCAGGACTCAGGAATGCAGAGTCTCGGGCACATTACCGTGAGAGAAGCAAGGGCTCAAACCCGGGCAGCCGGCTCTGCGAGGCCCTGTGCGGCACGCATTTTGCACAGGAATGTCTTGGAGGCAGGGAGCCATCAGCGACCTACAACCTTTCAAATCACAGGGCGTCCTCTACTAACCACTTATGGGAAGTGACATTTAAAAAGCACTCACATTTTCTCTCTGAATGTCTGCAGGAAGCTCAAAGCCTTTTGCTGTGATAAATACCCAGCTCGACCTGAACCGAATGTTCCTGATTTGTTTACTTCCAAGTGCTTCTATGACCTTCTTGGCATCCTCCTTCAGCCTGGGGGGAGAGGGGGAGGGCGTGTAAATGTTGCAGGCGGAGACTACGGTGTGTCAACTGCGGATGTCCTAGGAAAGAGGCTTCTAGAACAACCCACCTCCTCCTGGGGCATATAGCGGGAGGGTGGCAAATTTCTAGTTAATCACGTGATGACATCAGGGACTCTTTAAGCTTCAGTTTGGGGCACAGAGTTTTAATTCTCAATTCTCAAATCCCTGTGTCTTGGGATCCAGTCACATCCTCATGTTCAGCCAACATAATTTTGGGTCTTTGCTGCCCCTCCTGTTCACTGACCACAAAAGGAGGCAGACAGAAGTTGCTGAAAGATGAAAGGACAGGTCAAAATGGTCCCTTTCATTTTCAGAAAGGTCAGTATCAAAAAAGAAAACAAAAATCTAAAACAACACTACCATTGTAAAAGTGGGCAACTTACAGTAAGCAAAGGAAGGAGGGCAGAAAGGAAAAGAAAAAAAAAAAAGAGCTCAGATATTCCTGAGTTAAATCGGAATTTTTCCAAGTGTGTATCAGATAACTTCTGTCTGGTAAGATGCTCTATTAAAAACAGGATCTGAGGTCAAATAAATTTGGGGAATGCCATGTTCACGAGCCACCTTGAAACTCACAGGGCACAGAAGTACTCTGAGATCCTTGGAAGTTTGGCCATGAACACACACGTGTTTACTCAGAACAGTAAACTTCCGAGCAACACAGGAGCCAAACCAACTTCTCCCTCAGGAAGTTGTATGTGTGTGTGTTTCCTTTTCATTCGATTGCCATTCTTATAGAGAATTCTTCTCAATTTCCTTTCCTATTTCTGTAAGTCCCACCCTGGGTTTAGCTTTTCTGTCCTAATTATGGTCTGTGGCGGTTCTATCTTGCTACCTGAGAATGTTCCTTAGCTTCTAGGACTTATGTACTCTGCTGGCTACTCAGGTTTTTTTTTTTAGAAACACAGTCTGCTTTGTCATGGGCTCCCATTCCTTCTCCTTAGGAAAGCATCTTGCTCCTTAGATTTGCATTCTTTCCTAGAGGATGCTCCTCAGGGGCCCTGACAGGCCTGGTGCTCTCCGCCAACCAGCTTCCCCCGTCCCCCCACTGTGACAAATCGGTCCACACTCACCTACTCGCACCGTCATCTTGGGTCACCATGAAGAGCAGGGACTTTGGAGGTGCGCTCTGAATAAAGTTCATCATCGGTCCAGAGTTATCTGTTGGGTCAATGCAAACCGGTTTTAGGGTCTTCCTTGTTCACTTGCCCGGGACACTGTCCCCCCTCCGCGCTTGGCTGCCGTGTCCTCTCTGAATCCTCTAATGCCTGGAGCTCATCTCCACTAGTGAGTGGCCGCTGGGCTCCACGGTGGGACCAGCAGAGGTGAGGGGCACGAGCAGCTCATGGAGATCCTATGAATCTAACTCGAGGCCAGAGACAATGTGGCAAGCACAGGTGTGGCGTTCTCTGCGATGACCACCACAGAGTGGTCCCGGGGCACTAAAGTGCAGAATGGGGGTGAGAAATCAGACTTGCAGACCAGACTGAGCATGGCAAGTCTTTGCTAAGAGACGAATCTGTGCCTCACGGCAACAAAAGGAAGGCTAATCTCAAACCCCATTATTTCCCACTGGGGCATTTATTGCACAGTTCCCATCAAGTGCGTCCAGACATTTATTACTGTTCTCTTTATAAAGCCTTGTTTTAAATAATTCTCACTGCTCAATAAAAATAGAAGGGGCTCCTATATCCTGCCTGACCTCTGTGCTCAAGCCCATTGCCCAGACTGGAGAGACCATGGAAGGAGAATGTGTACTGTGCGTCCCGGGGACGTGTGCGCTGAGCGCAGGGGGGCAACATGAACAGGACAGGAACAACGATGATGTTCAGGGCTGCATGCTGATCACATTATTTTACATATATTTGATTTAAAAAAATGTTTTCTCTTATTATGTGATGAAGGAACACAAATAAAAGGCCCAGGACAAGTGTGACCAGAGAAGACATTTTCTAGATAACGCCTTCAAACTCGATCATACGACCTCAATTAGAGACAAGGAGGGCTTGTGTAAGACTGTTCTAGAATACTCCTATGAGCTTCTGGCAACTTTTTTAGTAGACAAAATAAGAATGTTTGACACTTTTGTTTATCTTCATGTTTCTAATTCATGAGAAGAGTTTTCTTACCACCTCCAAACATATCAAAATACTGTGTTGCTATTGCTTTCCCAGTCATATCTGAAAATAAAAGAAATAGTTTTTAAAAGAACGTTCACTGGACTCGGGGTCCATCTGTGGCACCGAGCTGCTCAAACGGCACACTCCTGTGTCCAGGAAGCCGGCTGATCAGCTGCTCTAGAACTTCCTTCCCACGGCTTCCAGCTAGTTGGACCCCCCACTCTTTCCTGCTGCCCCTGCCTCTCCTACGGGAACCCCAGAGTGCCCCCCTCAGCCTCCTCTGCTTCGTACTTTAGGTTTTCCAGCGGGATTCTCAGAGTGGGTGTGTTTTGTCTCTGTCCCACAGCCCCAAGGTCAGGGGACTGCGTGCTCTGCGTGCTCCCAGGCATGGCACACAGAACCCTTTCCCCAAACCTCTGACAGGTCTCATGGTGGGGCCCCCAGTGACAACTGTGACAGCGTGTCTTCCCCAGGCCTAAGAGGAAGCCAAGCTTTGCTCCCCCGAGGCCCTAGTTGGCTTTTCTCACAAAGGTGGGGTGACCTCTGCAGGGTCACCAGGAATCCAAGGGTGACTCCAGGATGGTCTGTGCCCCCATAGCCTGCTTATTTGATTCGACCCCTGCCTTCTGCTGGTTCTTTTTTGGTTTTTTAGAAGTCTATTTATATTTGACTTTTTTTTTTTTTAAGTTCATTTGTTTTTAGTAATCTCTATACCCAACATGGGGCTCGAACTCAGGACCCTGAGATTAAGAGTCCTACGTTCCTCTGAGCCAGCCAGGAGCCTCGGACTCTTTTTTTTGTTTTTCCAGGAACCACAATCTGTAAAGTGAGGTATTATAAAAATAATCAAATAATTTTAAAATGCTTTAAAAAATAAGCCTAGACTAGATCATTTGCAAAAATCCTCAAAAACCCAAGGTATCTTTGAAAATCCAATCACGGAACTTTTAGAGAAGTTTGAAAGAGAACATTTAATAACTCACAGTTGACAATGGCAATATTTATTCCTCTTCCAACATTTCTAGTCTTTTCTCCCATGAGCCTGGAATGAAAATAAGAGTCAGTCAAAGAATCCCTTTCTCACAAAGCAATGAGTAGGGCTCCCCGTTCCATGAGCTCTTCCCTTGGCAGAACCACTGCCCCAACCATCGGCACTTACCATTTCCTTGAAGATACGCACAGGCCTTGGCTCAGCTCCCTTGAGAATCACCCCCATCCTCGCTCCGCACATACCCACCCCCAAGGTTCTATAGACTCAGTCCCTCGGGGAACCTGGAAACTGCTCTTAATCCTACAATCTAGACAAATGGCCAGGGAGAGGAAAATCTAGGATTTGTTGAGCACAGGCTCTTTATAAACATTTTCTCACTGAATCCTCAACTACCTCCTGAGCATTCATTTTTCCACCTTACAGATAGGAAGTCGTAAGAGGTGGATCAGCTGGGCACGGATCTGACCCAAGTCTGCTCCCCACGTATACACCCTCTGTCCTCGTACTGATGGAGGACTTGCTGGACTCTTGGTGATCCTTTAATCCAGCCACAAAATGTAACCCAGCTTAGCTCCTCAAATAAATACTTTCTATTACTTCACTTAATTTCCATTTTTAAATTGGAGAATAGGATCAACTTCAAATGAATTGTGCCCTAAAACCAGTATGAAGACTGACTTTCCTGGAGATGGTATTTATTACTGAAGATCCTAGAATTCTGTGTGTGTGTGTGCGTGCACCCTCTGTCAAGTTTTTCTTTTTTTTAAGATTTTATTTATTTATTTGATAGAGGGAGAACGAGAGAGAGATCTTAAGCAGGGGGAGGAGGGAGAAGCAGACTCCCCGCTGAGCAGGGAGCCTGATCCCAGGACCCTGAGATCATGACCTGAGCTGAAGACAGACGCTTAACGACTGACCCACCCAGGCACCCTCCCTCTGTCAAGTTTTAGAGTCAGTGATATGCTGGCATCACAAATAGAATTTGAAAGTTTTCCTCCTTTTCCCATGCTTGGGAGTAGTGAATACAGCACTATAATATTCTGCTCTTGACACATTTATCTAAACTCCCCTGGGGGCTTTCTAGTCTAAGTCCTTCTCAGAAGGGTAGCTTTTTGACAATTTTAGAGAATATTCTATAATACCTTGAAAGAGAAAAAGAAACTTCCATTTATGATAATGGAAAGTGGGGGTAATCTGAACCTAACTTCTCATAGAGGAAAATTTAAAAATGGGATTTAAAGAGTATCTATTTGACTATATTGGAGACCTAACAAGGAAATAAAGAGCTCTGAAGCCAGGATGTGGGGGGACACTTAAGTTTCAAGTGGGTGAGCCCAGCAAGTAAAGCTACTTTGCCTCAGAAGCATTTGCTAATTCCAGAAAAAGTATCAAAGGAGATGAGTAGCACTTTTGACATCCACGTGAGGTGAGGCTTGGGGGACAAAAGTTGGAAGACAGGGCCCACCAAAGAGAAGGCCATGTTACATCCTCCAATCTTATTTGGGTTGGGGTCAAAAATGGTTGAATCTTAAAAATAAGAATGAACCAGAAATAGATCAGAACTTGAATAACCACAGCCAAATTTTAAGTCAACCGGGTGGGTCCCCCAAAATCTCAGTCCTTAACATTTATTCAGATCATTCTATTCTGCTCATGATTCCAAGTTCCTGGTATAAGCAAGCAAAAATCCTCAGAAAAAGAAGATACCATCTAATACCTCAATTAAAAAAAAATGCAGAGGGTGCCTTGGTGGTTCAGTCAGTTGAGCATCTGCCTTTGGCTCAGGTCATGATCCCAGGGTCTTGGGATCAAGCCCCGCATGGGGCTCCCTGCTCAGTGAGGAGTCTGCTTCTCCCTCTGCCCCTTCCCCCACTCATGCTCTCTCTCTCAAATAAATAAAATCTTCTTTAAAAAAAAACCCCACAATTTCTCAAATACATGCTCTATCATGCTATCAAATGTCACCTGGCACATAAGAAAAGATGCCGACATAAACAAGTACCAGTGAAACCAGCAGAAAATAATAGATAATAGTGACAGACTCATAAGGGCTCCAAACAGATTATCCAAAGGATTTCAAAATAACTATACTTAATATGCTAATGAAGACAATAAATAAAAGCAAAACATTTCAAGCTGGAAACTACGAAAAAATGAAGATTAGAAGAAGTACAAAATGAAGCTCTAAATCTAAATTAATGTAACAACTACAGTCAGTAGTTAATGGAGGGGTTTCACAGCAGATCAGGCACCGTAGAAGATCTGGTGAGCAACAGTTCAGAGGAAAACAGCTCTGTCTACAATGAAAGAAAGATACAAAGATGGAAAATACAAAACAGACTGAAAGCTATAGAGAATATAATAATAAGATCTGACATATGTTTGTCAGGGGTCTCAGATGATCAATCAGGAGAAGGTAAATGGGGCAGAAGATGCAATGATAGAGAATTTGTTCAATGTGATGAAGGACTATGATTCATACATATTTAAGAATCACAACGAACCCCAAAGAAGATAAAGCAATAACAACAGACACAGCAGGGTACAAGTACTGAAAACCAAAGGCAAGGGAAAAACCTTAAAGATAATCGGAGAGGGGAAAAAGGCAGTTACTTGTTACTTTCATCACCTCAGCAATTCAATTGTTAGCTGACTCTCAAGAGAAACAATGGAAGCCAGAAGACAATGGAACAGTATCTGAATGGGTTGAAACACAACCTGGAAAAATATCTTTCAGCAATGACGATGAAATAAAGGTATTTCAGAGAAACGAAAACTGAGACAATTCACCACCGGTGAAGCAGATAATACAGAGGCTTTTGTTCTGTATCTTTTGCTGTAATAAATCTTATCTGTAAATATTAGCTGTTCCTGAGTCTTACAAGTCCCTCTTGGATGGAGATCACGGAAGTTGAGGATAGTTGTGCAATCCCCCAAAATAATATCCAACTGAAATATATGCACGTATGCACCAACAGACATGTGATTATATTACACATTTGATTTATGTGTGGACTTATTTCAGCTTATTTTCAATTCTAGAGTTTCTTTGTGTTTTTTTGGATTTTATTTAATTTTTGAATATGCAATACATCACATGGTTCAAAAATCACCATTATGTGGACAGAACAAAATCATACCCAAAGAAATCTTCTCTATACCCTCCACTTTGTTCTCCTCATCCCCTGTTCCCATGTCCATTAATTTATTTTAGTTTCTGGTTTATCCTTCTGGGGTTTGTTTTTACATCAAAAATAAGCAAATTGTGTATGCATAATTAATATACATTCATGTATATGTTTTTTATATATGTATATATACATGTATGAGTACACTTACATATGAGTATATTCAAGTATATGTCTGTATTCCTTATTATATTCTTTTACAACAAACTGGTAAATGCGTTGCTCTGAGTTCTGTGAACCATTCTAGCAAATAACCAAACCTAAGGAGGGGGGCATGGGAACTCTGATTTACAGGCAGTCAGTCAGAAGTATACTGACAATCTGGGACTTGTGATTGCCATCTGAAGTCAGAAGGGGGCAGGGAATGTCTTGTGAGACTAAGCCCTTAACCTGTAGGGTCTGAGGCCATCTTCAAGTAGATATATCAGAATTGAATTGAATTGTAGATTCCCACCCCGCCCCCAAGCTGGTGGTGTTGCAAATAATTGCTTGATGTGGGGAAAAATTACCACACATTTGATGACCAGAGTACAAATGCACTCAGAGTACAGCAGTTTTCCTTTATGTACCCCAAAATAATGTGGCTCACTCAAGAAGAAACAGGTAACTTGAGTAGCTCTGTATTTATCAAAGAAAGTGAAATTTGTAGTTAAAAATCTTCTCATAAAGAAAACTCTAGGCCAGAAGGCTTCACTGGGGAATTGCACCAAACCCTTAAATAAATAATACCAATTCTTTACAAACTCTCCCAGACTATTGAAGAGAATACTCACCAACACATTCCACCCTGATACCAAAACCAGAGAAAAAAAAAAAAACACAAGAAAACCACAGACCAATATCTCTCATGAACACGGATACAAAAATTCTTAACAAAATTTTAGCAAACTGAATGCAACAATATATAAAAAGGATACTATATCACAAGCAAGTGGGATTTAGCTCAAAAATGCAAGGTTGATTTAACATTCAAAAATGTAATTCACCATATTTGCAGACTAAAAAAGACAAACCATATAATCACCTCAAGAGATGTAGAAAAAACATCTGACAAAATCCAATACCCATCACTGATTAAAAACTCTCAGAAACCTTGAAATACAAGGAATTTCTTCAACCTGATAAAGGGCTTCTGTGAAAAATCCCTAGTTAACATCATACTTAATGATGAATGATGGAATGCTCTCTCTCCAAGACAAGGAAAAAGGCAATGATGTCTACTCTCATCATTTCCATTCAGCATTATAATGGAGGTTCTATCCAGTGCAATCAGGCAAGAAAAAGAAAGCAAAGGCATGCAGATTAGAAAGTGGTAAAACTGCCTTTTATTGGGGGGGGGGGGGGTTAGCTGACCATTACCATCTATGTAGAAAATCCAATGTAAAAGCAAAACTACTAGAACTAATAAGTGAGCTTAGCAAGGTTGTGGGATATAAGATCATTATACAAAAATCAATTCTGGGACACCTGGGTGGCTCAGTCAGTTAAGCCTCTGCCTTCGGCTCAGGTCATGATCCCAGGGTCCTGGGATCGAGTCCCACATTGGGCTCCTTGCTCAGCGAGGAGCCTACTTCTCCCTCTGCCTGCCTCTGTCTCTCTCTCTCTCTCTGATAAATAAATAAAATCTTAAAAAAAAAATCAATTCTATTTGTATATACTAGCAATGAACAGTTGGAAATTAAAATTTTTAAAAATATACTACAGCATCAAAAATGAAATACTTAGAGATAAATATAATAAAAGAGCTTCAAGATCTGTACACTGAATGCCATAAAAACATCTCTGAATCAAGTTAAAGAAAATTTAAGTAAACGGAGAGCTAACTATGTTTGTTGAGTAAAAGATTCAATATTGTTAAGATGT